GTCTAATTCTAGATCGCATACACAACAGGGCTACCTGCACTAAATGTGATCAAGACATTCGAACTTGAACAAGCTGCCAGTGAACACATGTAATCTGGTCCAAGTAGCCTATGGTGCTCTTTACTCCGTGGCTTGACCTTTGCTACATATTCTGTAACGCTTTATCGATCCATATCGATTGGTGTATCAATGAAATGACAATGAATCCCAGACTTGATATCCAATGAACATGCTGAATACCAAGAAAACTGGCAATACACGCGAACCTTTCAGTATTCAGAAAATATTATATAACCAACATAGATTTGCAGTATGCGGCCCTGCACAAGTGATCGTTCCCCCAAATGAGAACATATCTCGCCTACTAGGAAATGTATCCAGTTATTTACTTAATTATGGTACTTATAAGATATATCATCACTTAGGTAAGTGAAGTTGGCAATCGCTTCCAACCGTTGTCCGATGAGCGCGTCGATGAAGCCACAAGTTGAGGTCACAAAAAGCACAAATTGAGAAGCCCGATGTGAATTACGCTGTAAGCGCTTAGAAACAACCATCAACAGGGTTCAACGGGCCGTAGAGATGGGTAATATGCTCGGGGCAAAGGGCTGAAAGGGACCAGTGCTGGTTCAATATTCTAAGCATCTTCGAGGGTGAGGAAAAAGTAGAGAAAGCAATGAGAGAATTTTCGATGTTGCTCGCTTCCAACAACTGGTTTCGTCCTGGTTCGGATTCACCAGGTAGAGACAATCGGAACTACGGGTGGAATGTAGGACGTAAATGTTGATGGCTGATACCTTGGTCAGTAGGCTACTGAGATCCGTGAAGAATGATCGACACAACGGTTAGGAGTTAAACATGACGTTTTTGAGTACGTGTTGTGTGTTTGGATTGCGACAGGGACTATATTGAAGCCACAGTTTACTCTGAAGTAGACACTGGTCATTCCGAGTATTCTCACAGAAAAACATGTGACTTCCGTTATGGTTCTGGTGATAGGAATGAACGCGATCTACTTGAAGGTAAACCGAGGTATCAATAGACATCACGTGCCGCAATCCAATCACACGGCGGGTGCTGGAAACCCATTTTTGAACTCTTAACCTTTGGGCCAAGTGTTACTCACGGATCTTAGTGAGCAAAGCATCAGCCGTTAACCATTGGCCACGAGCTCCATTCCCAACTCAGACTACTTCTAGCTTATGAGTCCAAACGAGGACGTGACTGGTCGTAAAGTGTCGGTGTCAGGAAAAGCAACACCGAACTCCCCCACTTCGGATACGACTCAAGTAATCAAAATGACCGAAGTCTAGTTAAAAGTAAACTGAAGCCCAAACAGAGATTGTGTTTTGCGACCAACAACGTGGAGGGTACTCTGAAACGCAGCGCTGTAAGTAACTTTTCTGTTGTCCAGATCTAGAATTGTGCCTTATCATCAGGTTCCTTAAGTAGAGACAATTTGACCAAAAGTTGTGCTAGCCTGCCGAATGCCCTAACCCAGCCCCACGGAGAACGCTTGCATCAACGACAGCGAAAACGTGTGACTAGTCGCGTAGGTCTTGTTTCAGAATATCTTGCTTGTTTATGATTAGTAAGTACACATGGACCAACCGAGGGGCTTAAGGCCGGAAGTGAGTTTACAGCACGTTCTTCAGGTGTTCACAATAATACATTTCCACCTTACCATAGTAAAGCCTGAGGACGTACGGAACCAATCGTCATGAGTTTAACGGTGGCATGTAACTTCATTACGGGAAAGAAATCAGGTTGTCTAGCTACGGACAAGGGAAGTACTTAGAAATCTGTTTTTACATTACTTCATTATTCACATACTAATGGAAGTAGGAGACAGTACCGAAACATGCGGGCAACCTCGAGGAGTATGTATGCAGGTGCGAATTAACGGTTGATACACACCTAAGCAGCAATGCGTGCGTGGCTGAATGAAATGAAAGTACAAAGACAAACTCAAAGCAAAGGAGCTGCACGACTCAGAGTAAATATTGAACAGGAACGGGTTTGGACATCGACCACTCACTGTTGCCACCATTTAGGATTCCGTTTGGTCAAGGAAATCGTCCACGTGGTTAGGAGACGCAGAAATCATGGGTGTGAGAAATCTGGAGTACACAATAGCTTATGCAAAACACGGAAACAAAAATCATTGCAACGCCCGCCCACAGGGCCGCAGTCAAGTGCCGACGAGTGATTGGACAACTGTTCGCTACACAGTGTGTTCCGCCTACATGACTCTTCACACGACTGTTAAGCTTGAACGAAACCTAGCGACGTGAGTAAACAAATCACTGATTGGTTTATTTGCCCCAATAAATTGCGCAGTAGTCGGAGCCAGCTGCGGTTGGATTGAAGTACGGGAATTAACGGGTTATATGAGTGTTGAAAACACGTTTCTAGCATACCCGATCGAACGCAGGGGACGTGAGGATGGGGCGCAAAAGCGGTGCACGGTCAAGCGGAGTGATGATGCTGAGGAATGGGCTATTACAGATGCAGCTTCTATTGTTGCTATTGACAACGTAAACGACAGGAAATAAGCTTTTGCTATGCATCGTTCGAATTCCGTTTTTATGCCCTGCTTCATGTGATCTGGATAAAGATGTCAGCAGTGTTCCAGTATGTTAGATTGTCCCTTCGTTGCCACATGGCCAACGCGAATCGCATGGTGAGTCACAGACACTGCGACGTTGCGCGTATCTACGCGAAATCAAGCTGATGACCTGTGGATTGCAGGCCAGAAGTTTTACCCACTCGACCGGCGATGCAGTAAAAGTGCGTCGCCCTCTGGTTCTTAGACAGTCGGGCGCTAAGCTCGTGATCATCGTGTAGATGGAATGGCGTGCAAAACATAGAGGAATGTAACTAAATGCGTCGCAACCTCGTCTGGAACAATCCGTGAGAGAATTGCTTCACGTCTGGAAACGATTGGTATGTTCATGCAATCCGAGGTTGACAGTTCACAATCATCCAGATGATGAGAATTTACTAAGTTTGATCTAGAGCTGTATTTTGGTATGGGAAATGTTAAGGAGAATAAAAATGTCTCGTTTTTGTACACAAACTAAATGAATGTAATAACAAATCAGATAGGGTGAGTGAAATACTAAACTATATATAGAAAAACCATCAAGTGCCTATGCAATGGATGTTTGTCGAGAAAATTGGGCAGACATTTGCGCACTGTGCTATCTGGTCAGTCAAACTTGAATCGCTATAGATGCATCTAATGGATCCGCCAACGAGCCCGCTGCATCGGAGCGGGTGAAGAACAGCATTCATCGGTACCGCCCTACATATCCCATTCGCTAGTGACCACGTGTGAGACCCGCTGGAAATCACACGGGAAGTGACTTGTTTCGGGAGAATACCACAGGAAAACCGCTATTAAAAGCGGAAGTAGGAGTCATATTGCGCAAATGACAGTATACGTAAGCACAGAAACCCCCTGTAACTTTGTAAAGCAGTTCGAAAGGCGTTCAAAATATTGGAATATGAGTCGAGAACCATGTTATGTGAAAATGTGGGAATATGAACGATTTCTACAGAATCAGGGCACTGTTTCGCTCTCCACACAAAAGTTTCGTCAGGCTAAATGAACCAGTACAGAAGTGATTGGGTACTATGTGGTGAACTAAGACATGTTGGGTGCTAACCAGTTACTAGTAAAACATGACATGTAAGAGGCGTGCCACGTACGAGAATACGCAGAATAGTAAGAGTGGTCGGACCCAAAGTGTACTCACGAGCGCCACAAAGAATGGAGAGCAGATAAGCAAGAGCAGAGCGACTCACCGAGGAAGAGCAAGTGATCGGGATTGGCAATCAGTCAAACAAACAGTCGGTTACAAGGTCAAAGAATCAATAAAATCCAATGCAAAATACTGAGTGGTTTGAGGTTCACTATAAACAACGATCGCTACAGCGGAGACATGAATTAGAAAGTATGCTTCGTCGTGCATTGGTGTGCTGCCTCAAGCAGTACAGACAGAGGGAGGAGATATTTCGTGGTTCAAACTGCCAGGCACTCACACGCAAGGCGGTGTTCGGTTTGAAGTCGTTTCAAACTTATGAGATCTGGATCGATCCAGAATATAGTTCTGGACTTTGAACGATCGCTTTCAAAAATAGCAAAAGAATTGCTGGTTAGTGGGGAAAACATACCGCTTCTTTAAAGTAGCTCAGAAATCACAATTTTCAAACCCTCGTAATCGCATCACCGGAGAGTTCATAAACTCCAACAGATTACCTTACAGGGCAAACAAAGCATTCTAGAGACAGAGGATTTTCTCTACAATTGTGTCTGAGCGGAATCCACGTCCACACAATCGAATGAGCTTGGAGGTGCAGACTGTCGAGACGTACGCAGATTATGTCAAACTTCACGTAAACAGAACGAGAAAGCTCAAGAGAAGAACAAATTTGTAAGGTCTGTCATTTAACGTCATTGTATGGTAAAGTGCTCGGTTTTACTGTAATCCTGGAGTTGGTAGTAACTACTGAAACGCAATTGATAGACAAGATGAAGATCTCGAAGGAAACAAAGTATATGATTCGAATAGTGTTTGATAATCACCATCGACAAACCTAGACAAGTGAAGCGTCGAAAACGCCCGTTTCACAAGTTCAGAATTTTCATGCCGGATCTTCCACCGGTGGAACTTGTCGCCACAAGTGCCCAAAAGGTAGATCATAGTATTATCGTCACCAAGGTTAAGATAATAGTGATAAAGAGAAAGCGGAATTATTTGGAAAAATGAAGTAGCGTTTAGTGTCAAGTTCATGTAAAGCGATCAGGAATGTAACCTATACGTCAGTAACGAATACGGCGGGGTTCGATATTAGCCTGAGGAGATTTGGGGACCACTTAGGATAGGGAAAACAGCACACCAAAGACCTATAAGCAACTTCATCAAAAGATAATTTATGGACCGCCGGAGATTCATAAATACGAAGTTCACATTTGGCCTATTGTATAGGGTACAGGTTTGCCGACACGACAGCTAGCTAATTACTCCGTAAGCCTGTTACGACCTAAGGCAAGGTCAGTAAAGAAATTCTTTATAAAGGGCAGCGGCAGCTTCTATAATCGAATCAGATGAATAGTACCAGCATTTCTTCGTGGTGCACTAACATGCCCAAGGGTGTGCATTAAAAGTGGCAAGAACGCCACCTACTTGATGAAAAGAACGTGCGAAAAAGAAAATTACGGCTAAACAGACCAGCGGAAGGAGTGACATTGTGTTTCGTCCTACTTTTCGTGTTCTAATCACGACTATACACTCGGGGACTAGGTCATTTTCGTGGAACCGCAAATATTCGTCATGCTTGTACATAAATGAACAAAGAATATTGACAGGACATTGACCAAACTTAGTAGCTCGTCGAAAGTTACGTGAATGACGTTACTGTGATTATACAACGGGATAAGAAACATGAGTTTATAAGTCAATTAAAATACATTAATGACGGCCCAAGCATTAGTATGAATAGTGAGTTTGTGGTGATGAACCAGCATTCCATAGTGATTTAATTCACACAAATGGAGGAGGCCTGAAAATAACATTTTGTGAAGGGGACGACAGATTGAGCACATAGTTTGGAACCAGACCACCCAAAGTTCCTGTGCTGAGCTCACTTCAACTCTATCTCGTAAGACCAAGATCCTACGAACGCAGGAACAGGAGCCAATTGGAAGAAGATGAGGAATAAATCAACGAGCAGCAGACTCAACGCAAAAAGCTCTGGGCTGAGATTCAAACTTCGCAAGCAAGTTATCGGTGCGATATAAATACTTCTTGCAAAATGAACCGTAGAAGCGATCCAAAGGACACAAAAGAGAAGACAATGCCGATTGTATTAAGGGACCGAAAACGCGCATTTCGAAGGTGGCATGTTTGCAGGATTCGCTTCGAACAAATAAAACTAGGTTATGCGCACGTGCACATAAACCAAACGGCCCGCGAGACGAATACGGTAGTCGTAGAATACAAGGGAGGTCTATCTCGATCGCCAAAGAATGAGCCTTACAAGGATATTGGTGAACACAGTGCAGGTGTCAGAAACGGGGACGGAGATCGATTCGAATTATCATTATTAGGATGGGATTTTGTACAAAACTGCAAAGATTAATATCCGATGTGGTAGAAATCTCAAGGGCCGACAGCTGCCTAGGTAGAATGGACAGAATTAGACCACCAACCTCATGGTTGAACATAAGATAAAGCCAAGCCGCCGTCAACACGAAGACTTCAAATGTAAACACTGTAACATGAATCGTCTTGGATCATGGACACGAATGTCACCCTATGTGACACCTTGACGGATGATAACGACGATTATCCCCTGACTCATGGCTCCACTGTTTCGATCACTGTCCCACTTAGTCACAAGATACCTCGCTGATTGGGTAGCTGTGCAATGGATCTAGTGAAAACTTTGTATAAAAGGCGGAAGTTTGTCTAGAAAATGTGTTTTCACATCTAAAATTGTGAGAGATTATTGATAACGCGTAAGCCTTTTGGAGGCTCCTCGAAAACTTCCACTCGGACGGACATGGGTGTAAAAGTAAATGGCCCTTTGTCCACTCGTTCAAAGTGTGTACCCCGACCACAACATGCGTGTCAGCAATTGTTGTTGCGCCTGTACGCACTCGCGCATCGTTATCGTATGTGACAAGAAATCGCTCAAACGACGGCTCGTGGGAATACTTTGCAGATAGTTTTTTCCGATAGAATTTTTCGTGTGGAGGACAGTCAGTGGAATCATACTAAAATAAATTGAGCACTAACAAGACCCACTTGACTGTCCTTAGAAAAGGTTGGAATCCTCCAGGTTGGGGGTTGGAATGGGGGTGGCTACTCATTTCATAAAACGCGCCCTGTAGTCCAGTGTCAAAACCTGCTGCCTTGCGGTAAGGTTTTTGAACCAAAGGCTTTGGTTGAGGACCCTAATCGTTCTCCTGTCTAGGCCTGGGCAACCTGACAGTATTCTGCCCACACAATACAATGAACCTTTCCTACAACAATTTCTTGATGCTCTGGACGTCGCCGAGGATAATAAACGACGCCATATCTGCTTCATCGAGCAGGGTGGATAGGGGTATGGATGCTACTGCTCAGGCCTTCCCGTCTTCTT